ACGGGGGCAGAACGGTCGAGGTCAGCAAACCGCAGCACAGAGGCGGCTGCAGGGCAACCACAGCAGCATTTAAGCTGAAGCCCCAATGAGTGATTACCTCGGAGCTGTAGTCATAATTCAGCGTGACCTCAATCTGCCTGCGACACTGCGGTTTGATGGATCTGCTCACAGTTTCGGTGTCAGGCACTCGCATGTCAAACACAGGCAGATTGCGATAAGGCTATCTGTTGCTTTTACCCAAAAAAAAAAAGAAAAGAAAAGAAAATGAATGTGACACGCATGCTGATTGTTTTTGCTTCCTGCCTTATCGGCTTAATTCATTTGGATATTGAGTGAGAAATCATTTACTACCTCGGTGTCAGAGGGAGACAAAACAACGTCACAAATAGTTAACCCTCATCATGGTGACGCCTACCGTCCGTCAGCCGACGCCTCATCTCAGCGTGGCTCATCAATCAAAGTCGGAGCACGTGCACGTGTGCGCGCTCACCTCCCTGTGTGGATAATTAGTGGATTCCCTCAGTGGGTGTTAAAGCCTGCGCTCTCCCCCCACTCTCTCTCTGACCTTCCCCAGTGAGCTTCCTATCACCGTGGGGCTCATCACACACCGTTCTAATACATATTTATTGGTCCACTGACAGCTCATGTGTGCTGGATTTATATGTTTCTTGACAAACAATAGTAAAAGCCCAGCCACTCTCCTGGCCTTTCATCAGCCGGAGCGGATATAAATCTAACGGTGTCACCCTGGCTGCAGCTTCCTCCTTCAACCGACCATCTGGTGGTTTTGGGTGTGAGATGGGCCAAGTCGCACGGAAGCATCTCTCTTCACGTTACAGCAAAACATATTTGATATGTTCGTATGTCTCTCAAATCGCCTTGGCAATCGCAGGAACAGGAACTTCTCAGCGGGAAGCGGTTTTCCTACAGCAACTTCTGATCAAAGACTGTCTGGAAGTAGTTGTGGCATCGCTCGCAGACATTTGGATTCAGGACTGGCTTCCCGAATCTATGACTGCCTGTGTTTTCCCCCCACCAATCCCCTCGCAATATGAGTTGAAACGCAAAGAGAGGCAATACCAGTAAAGAGCCCAGGGAGGAGAGAGGGAGGGGAGAGGGGAAGGAATGGGAGGAATGGCAGGATTAAAACCCCCAGCTCCCCCCTGCGCTGCCTCTGAGCGTCCATCTTTCATCTTAGGTCGGCCCCTCTAATGCTTTCAAGTGGGTGAAACCCCCGACATCTGCTTCCGCTCTCTGGGACGTGGTACAGGGCCGCCATCCTGCTGAGATGCACAACCACAGGACAGCTTGAAGGGCACTTTCGGGGCAGGACACAGAAGGTTAATGGTCTCATCCGTAAAGAAAGAAACACATGATGCAGAAATCTAATAATCTTTCACTTTGGGGATCGGTAAAAAAATATTATGTGTACTCATGGACCTGTAGTCATATTTTATGAAGTCATATTCTAACCTAAAAATATGTCTTGAAAAACACACGAGCATACTCACTGTGCACTTTGCTAACTCAGACACAATAATCCTTCTTACTCTTTGTAAGCAAATATCTGTAAATAGATATGTAAATAAACACTTTGTCTTCGCCTAGTTGAAATAAGCCCCCAGCCGCCTCTGATTAGGTCTACCAAAGTGATGTATTGGGCACTTAAATCAGCTGTTTACCTCCTAAACACAAAGATCTCAACATACCCACCCACACTGAGGGTGAAATATCACAAACAGAGAAAACTCACCGGCATGTTCGAATGCTAATTGTTCGCCACCTAATCAAATATTTTCATTTGTTTTACGAATGGAGTGTTTTTTCATGGCTTGTTTAATTCTGTTTGAAGTCATTAAAATCATGCTTAATAATCCGATTAAGCATATCAAGAAGAAAGATCTGAGTGGAATTCAAGTTGCCAGATATATGAATGCATCCAGTCTGAACACTAAAGCACACATTTTCAAGATTATATACAAAACTCCTTCTGTGTTTCGTGGTATTCATGATACAGTCCCCTGATGTTCTCCAGCAAACCTTCAAGGCCTTCGCAGAACATCTGCATTTAAACTGAGATTAAATGACACACAGACAAACTCTATTAGGAGTTTTCTAAAGGCTGCTGGTTGCACTGGGATTTAATTGGGGAGAATAAGATAAGAAATTGTAAAAAGAATTGATTTCATTTTTCTCCCATTTAACAATTATGTTTGACGTTGTTAATTGCATAAAACTCAGCTGAAATACCTTGAGATTTGTGATTGTAGTCCAACAAAATGTGAAGCAGTGTGAGCCCTTGTTCAAGGCACTGTAATTTTCCACAAGAGGACTGTATTGAACTATAGATTTTAGAGATTTTGATTTTTCTCAAACCTCTACAAAACTCCACCCACTCAGGAGCACAAAACCAACATGTAGAGTCACATAATACAAGTTCTTTGTAGTTCAACATGCATCTATTTCTGCCACATACAACCAATAGAACATAGCTTTCTGTTCAGTTTGGCTTTTCATTGTGTGCCAGCAGTCTGCATAAGCAGATGAAAAGGTGCAGTTCAGTTCCTACTGCAAGTGTAGTGAGTAGGAGTCAGTTTATTTATAGACATCCACCCACCAGGTTCTGCAGAATTTAAAATCTTTCAGGTTAAAAACATAAAATAAAAAAGTAATGTAAAGTGTATCGGGAGCAGAGCCACTCTGGGGATGTGCTTGAGCGGGATTGCGTGCGTGTGTGTGTTTGTGTGTTATGACCTCAAAATGTAGACTCTGTCTTCAGTTCCAGTGAGGTTCATCCAATTTATGCTACCCTGAAAAATGCATTGTCATTGCAAGGAAAAACCCAAACCATCATTTGAGCAAACGGTCCCCAAGTAGGTTTTTGTCCAACTGGGCTCTCCCTGTAGCTTACGACATAACAATACTGTTTAAATCTTCATTTGTGCTATGCATGTGGACAAAGAAGGGCAATAGGACCTGTAAAACAAGTTTGAATAATATAACAAAACTTTTTCTTTAACAATATTTGAAATAAAAATAAAAGAAAAACAATCATGCATAATAAACTTAAATTATGTTGTTCTTGTTGAAAAAAGAATGTTCTGTTTTGTCAGTCTGGATTATGCGTTGAATCAGTAAATGTCCATTGCATTTGATTAAGTTGCACTTCTTGCCAGCTAGCAGGCAACTTTTTCACTCCCCATTTATCATTATCCAAAAACAATAAATTAAGTCTCCGATGTCATGCTGTGGAAATGTAGAAATATGTTTAAAAACAGAATGGAGGCTAATATCTCATCTTTAATCTATTTAACCTTGGAACAAATTATACTACAGTGTTATGGTTTAAAATGTGACAGATTACCAAAAAAAATTATATTTTGTGTTTTAAATCTTGTTTTTATATTCAACCACGTATTAGGTTTGAGTGCGGGGTGTAGTTCACATATTATCTTCTGCCTGTTGGACACTATGTAAACCTTAATAAAATACAAGTAATGAACACTGACAATAAAAGAAAAACATGGCCTTGACTGACTCCTTATTTGGCCAGTACTTTTAAAATCAGTGCAATATGTAAAAAATCTTTGAAGTATTATTTGCATCAAAACAGTGAAGCATTTGTTACTAACCTTTATTTGACCTTTTGCTATTGAAACAACAAATAGGTTGTTAGTTTGCATGTTTACAAGAAAGTGAGAGTTTTCAGTTAAGATGCATTGGTCAGAGTAGATGAAGGTAAAATTAGCAAGCCTCAAAATTCATGAAATCGATTTCTCGCTCTCTGCCAGAAACAAAGCACGTCCAACGTGCTTTGTTTTGTTTTAACAGATTTTTATACTGAAGACAGAAAACGCTTTACTCTAAAGTTGAACATTTTCTGTAAAAAGCCCTTACACTTTTGATGAATAAGAAAATTACAAGTGTGTTCCTGTTCTTAAAAATTACATCATTAAAGACACTTTTATGGTAATGTGATTAGGCTATAAAAAACAGGTTGCACAGCAGAGTTTTTAATGAAGGTAAATAAACAAGTTGATAGCATTGCCACTTTTGCATTCTGCGATATACAGTATGATGATGTTATCATATTAACACCCCACCATATAATTGCCAATCAGAACGTGAAAAGTTTTGAACAACAGCCTAAATCTTGTTGACTGTAGTCTATACATAAGCAGTGTGGGTGCTCCAGAGTTGCCTTAAAACTGGGAATTCACACAATGCATTTTTGATTTTTCCAACATTGGTGTCTGCGTAAGATGGCAGGGGAAACAAGGCAAAAAGAAAAAAAAGAAAAAGCCTTCCTGTCAGTCGCATAGTGAATATAGTATATGTCGCTTATTTGCATGTAAACATTAAGTATACTAAGGCAATATTGTGGCTCTGGAGAGTGTGCAAGGAGCTGTTTTCTTTTTTTTTTTTTTTTTTTAAATATAGACTGCACAGGACACTAGCTCAGAATTTCACATATTTAGACAGATCAGATCTTTCTTACATTATTCTGCGCTTAACAGAGATTCATTAAAACACAATTTTAGGTTTATAACTCACATATTATTTTTTCTGAAAACACAAAGAACAATTTCAACATGCAGTGATGTATAGACTGGTCAAACATGAACTGAATCATTCCACGGTGATAAATGCATCCATTAGCACTAGCAGCGTTTGCTAGCATTTCCAAAAGAGCATGCAACAATGAAAGGAGGAAGAGAGCAGGACAGACAGATTGCTGTATCTTCCTTCTGTCTGTGAGACCAGGCCATCTGCACATTTATTATTACAACAATGATTCCATTATTGTTCTGTGTGGCAACAAGGACTTGCTCTGTCTGGCCTTTGTTATTCTTATCTGCTGTGTGGCTGACAGCCCGCTTTTGATCATGGCAGCAACAAAATTAACAACTCTCATGTAATACAGTGCATAACTGAATCATCATCCTTAATAATGACACATTAAACATCCTCCTATCTCTTCTGTCTGTGTCCTTGTCCAGGTCTGTTCCACAGAGCTATCATTCAGAGTGGGTCAGCACTTTCCAGCTGGGCAGTGAACTACCAGCCGGTCAAGTACACCCGTCTCCTGGCAGAGAAGGTGGGCTGCAACGTCCTCGACACATCAGACATGGTGGACTGTCTACGAAAGAAGACTTCCAGGGAGCTGGTGGAGCAGGACATCCAATCTGCGAGGTACCACGTGGCCTTTGGACCTGTCATTGATGGGGATGTTATTCCAGATGACCCTGAGATTCTAATGGAGCAGGGCGAGTTTCTCAACTATGACATCATGCTGGGGGTGAATCAGGGCGAAGGCCTGCGGTTTGTGGAGAATGTGGTGGATTCAGAGGACGGTGTGTCTGGAAATGACTTTGACTTCTCTGTGTCAGATTTTGTGGACAGTTTGTACGGATACCCTGACGGAAAGGACACACTGAGGGAGACCATTAAGTTCATGTACACGGACTGGGCAGACAGAGACAATCCAGAGACTAGGCGAAAGACACTGGTGGCTCTCTTCACCGACCACCAATGGGTGGAGCCGTCAGTGGTGACTGCTGATCTCCACGCTCGCTATGGCTCACCCACCTATTTCTACGCCTTCTACCACCATTGCCAGAGTCTCATGAAGCCTGCGTGGTCAGATGCGGCCCACGGGGATGAAGTGCCGTATGTCTTTGGAATTCCTATGATTGGTCCCACCGATCTTTTTCCCTGTAACTTCTCCAAGAATGATGTCATGCTCAGTGCTGTCGTGATGACCTACTGGACCAACTTCGCCAAAACTGGGTAAGTTTTTTTAATTTTTTTTAATTTTTTTACAAATTTACATCAGATTACTGACTTTGCTTTTTGCATATAGGCTTCTGGGTCATTCCCCATAAAGGCAGGTAGTATAGAAAGTGATTGGCTAGATGTGTTGAATTATAACAATTAGCATTTGATATTAGCATCTAGCTTGGATAGCATAACGTAGCTATCCAAGCAAAAATTGCTGATGATGTTCTATGAATCTGTGGTGGCTCGTGCCATAATGTTTGCTGTTGTCACCTGGGGTAGCAGCCTGAGGGTTATCAAGATCAACAAGACCATTCTTGTTGTAGGAGAGAAACTTGACTCTTTGGACACTGTGTTGCAGAGGTCACGGTTGTCCAAATTCATAAAAATGTTTTACTTTTCTTCTCATTCTTCTCAAGTCAGTTGCTAACCAATTATAGGAGCTTTTTCAGCAACAGATGCAGACTGCCATGATGCAAAACTTTCTCTTTTACATTAACAGATGAATCCTTGTGACAGTGATACATTATTGAAAAATATCTATATTTTTAAAAAAAGTAGATTGAAACATTTGTAAGATGATAAAAAGTATGTCATTCATTTAATAAACATACAGTAACATCTGCTAAACAGCTGCAGTGTGGTAACAAAGGACTGTGCTTCACAGCAAACCACTTTTGTTTGAATATGACAGGCACATATTTTACTGTAAGTGTCTCACAACATTATGGAAAAGATTTCTACTGAAGCTCCCTGCAGAAAAACAGACACCTTGAAGTCTTGTGGGAGGTGAGATATTACAGTAAGACAGCAGACAACACAACAGTGACACAAGTCAGCTGCTATAAGAGGATTTGAATAACATTACCAAATTAAGGAATGTCATATACTTCAGAGTACAGATTTTTAAAAGCAAACAGTGGTTAATTTTTGTGGTTTTCCAGAACATTGGTATCAAAGCCACACATATTTAAGCCATTAACAGACCTCCTTCAGGAGTTGCTGGTAGATATACTCAAACGAATGTCAATACTTAATTCAATATGACTTCTACTTAGTGTGTAACACAAACACCATGAATATACCTGAGATCTGTTGAGAAATGCCAAAGCTTTGTTCAGTCCATCTGTCTTTCATTTTTGAAGTGAGATTATGTTAAATGGTTATAATATCAGTAGTGGTATAAAACTCTACAAACATATTCAGTATATAAATATATATTAAGGCTGGTTTGTCCGAGAAGCCGAAGCTCATGGGTAATTGAACAGAGTTCAAGCAAAAAGAGGACTTGTATCATCTTAAAACATCACCAGTCTCAAAAATGCCACAGCACTTAAAGAAAATGCTATTTAGGTGGTTATTTATATTTACACAGGAAATAGAGGTAGAAGTCTGTGCGCTACCAATGATCTTCCTGTCTTGGACACTTACTGACATAAAAACGGATAAGTATTTCCCTTCAGTGTAAATGCCTAAAAGAAAAGTTAGGTAATGTAAAAATACCTAAATAAAACAAAAGTTTAATAAACTGCTACAATAGTTTTAGTATGCTGCTTTACTTCCTTACATTTCAGTGGAAGTTTCACATGGGAAGAGCATCCTACATAGCATCTACCCTGCCCCGTAAATTTTCTTCTATGCCTCCACTCTATTTCTATGCTGTCATCTCTGATAGAACCTGACTAGTGGGTTTCATTCTAAGTAGTTCACCTTTAATGTTCATTGCATTTTTAAATCCTCATTTGTACGTGGCTTTGGATAAAAGAGAGTAACACATGCAAGAGCATAAACACAAACAAACATTAGTGGTGCATTGCCTCCTGACTTGATTACTTGTGTATATAATTTTTGATTTCTTTAATAGGTTACCATCCAATGGAAATGGATGGTAACTTATTTGCACTGGATGCTAATAGGTTACGGTCTATAGCTTCACAAAAAAAAGCATTTTCCACAATAATGTTTTTCAGACAATTTCTAGAGATATGCAGAATGAATATGTATCTATCTGGTGGAGGTCAAAATGTTACTTCCTATATCCTAACCGAAGTGTACTTTTAGATGGTGTTTTTTTTTTTTGTCTCTACTCTTTGTGCTCTAGTTTTCCTTAATTAGCAGCCTCTTCTAAGCTGCTTGTGGATTGTTTGGTTCTGCACATCAGTGTTTTTGCATGTCAATGTGTCTTATGAAATATTCAGTACAAGCATTTGCCCAAACCCAAAGACCCGTACAACAAATCTTTCGTGCAAATGCATTTACCATTGCACTCATATTTATCAGTAAGGCTAATTTTGTCATTCTACATTTTATTAGCTCTGACTATTATATTTTATATGTACTTATTTTTTTAGATATCCAAGTATATAAAAACGACATTCAGGAAACATTTTATGTGGAGCAGATCCGATGAAAATCGCTGTCATTCCGAGTTTGATAATAGTTTGATAATTGACGAATAATGTTAATAACAGATTATGCAAACAAAAGCAAAGTAGAAAAATATTTTCCCTAGAAGCAACATTAGCATCTTATTTTAAGATTTTAATGGGAGTAATCTGAGCCCTTTAACTCATAATGCAGCTCTTATTTTCCCATGTAATTATAATGAAGTTATTCCGTACCTGTAAGTCATGCTGTTCTTGCTCAGTGTGGGTTTAATTGAAAAATATGTATATACTGATGAATTATACCCAGGGAGATGAAAATTTGATTCTGGATAAAATCAGCATCTTTAATTGTTCTGTAATTGTTGTATTTTGGAAGAAAACTGATAAATAAGATCCAGTTTGAGAATCTCAAAAATAACTTTGGCCTGTTTTTTTTCTTTATTAATTGATTCAAAAGCTTTTGCGACTTTTAAGCATTTTCTAGAGAAAGGATACAGAATAGACAATGGCTAACAATTGTGCACAACTAACCCTCTTTTAGGGCTTTAATTGCTGTTTTATGAAATGTAGGAAACAAGATAAAGCATCTCATTAACATCTGTTTTATTTATGTTGACAACATAAAATTAAAAAAAAGAGTAGACTGTTACTGGAGGTCAGTAGCTGAGTTGTTTGCTTGCCTGTTGCTTGCCGCTCATTGAAATATTTTAATTGGCAGCAGTAACAGTTATGATGTTAAATTGCGTTATTTTACAAAACCTGTTTATTTTTGGTATCGAGATTCACCAAAAACCTCATAATCAAATCATGAGGACTAAATAATCACTAAGGGCCCCAAGATGGGAGGTTAAGTTAACAACAAAAGCTTAAAATGGCAAATGACTAACAGAGAAATGATTTTCTCATTAGGCTGGACAGGGATTGGGTGACTTTCTTCAAACAGTGCTAACAATTTGCCACAAATTGCTGCATTCTGGCAGCTGCTCCAAGACATTAGTAAAACCAGTGATGACACAATTACAAACTTCTTCAGCCATTAATAGAAAGTAACAGATAGAAATCGTATCTCAGCTATTTTACAAAATTGTCATTGCTGAATAAAAGAGGCAGCTGGGGAAACGCAATTCTAAATAGATTTTTTTTTATTTTTAACAGAGAGAGGGTGGGGAGGGTCATTCAGAGGTGATTTTACCAGACGTCCTGGGTCTCAGTCTGAAGACTTGAGACATATTGAAGCTGAAGAAGATTAAAAGTTCCTGCTGAGTCTGTGTTTTGCTCTACGTGCTTGGCTGAGTGCTTTGGTTGAGTTTGCCTGAATAGTCAGTGGCCTTCTGTACACCTCGGTTTATATTGTATGTGTGTGTGACTGGATATATATGTGTGTGTTTGGAATAGGTTTTTATCTTTGCTCTAGTGTGCTGTAGCCCCCAAAAAACACAAAGACCTATCATGAAGGAATATCAAAGCTCTGTGCTGTATTGATCCCTTCAGCTTTAGTCTCGTCGATCGCTCATGCCTCGGGTGACTCACTCCCCACCCTGCCTAATTTCACCCCCACCCATCACAGAGCCAAGCCATTTCATCTGACTACTAGTAATCATTTCTAACAACTTAAATTTAATTTGACAATCCCTGTTACCAGATAGGTATTGATCCCATCCAGAATGGGATGCTAACTGAAATCTTGTTCTGTGTTTTATCTGTCTCTATATTGTCTGCTGTCCAATTAGAAGGCATTTACATTCAGTCATCTTGCAGCAGGAAGCTGGAGCTGCAAGGACTTGTGTTGATATGGACCGATACTGGCTGCTTTTTCTTCTGCACTTGTATTTGACTAAGGTCCATCAAATCAAAAACTGCCTGGCAGTCATCATTTCACATCGCATACGTCTTCAGAGATACAAATTTAATGCATAATTGATGTTCTTTTGAAATGGTATTTTTAAACTTCGAGCTTGCTGACCCAGAGGAGCAGGACCACGGTCTTCAATTAAAGAAAGCTGGACTGCTTACTCCAGGTCTGGGGTCAAAGGTCATGTACCATAGTGTCTTGTTTACAAGTGATGCTAGGGTGGAGCGGGAGATGGATAAGTTGATTGGAGCCTTGTATGTATTGATGCGTGAACTGCCTGCATTTATTGTGCTGCAGGAAGAACCACACAATAAAACTAAGCTATTGGTTTACCACTCCATTGAACCTCAACCTATAGTCATAAGATGCGGATAATAAATTGCTGCCTGGGCCAGATTGAGGATGATGTTCAGTCCTGGGCTTAATCCAGTTTTGTTGCCCAAGCGAAGTTCAGAGTGAGTCAGCCACTTGATTGAGAACCTCTGGGTCTCGTCTTTGCTTTGACGAGGTGCGCAGATAATGTGGTTCTGTGGGTGTTTTTAAGCCATAACCATCAGCTTGCATCGGAGCGGTTAACAGCCGAGTGCAAAGTAGTAAGAATGAGAGAAAGCTCCTCTAAAACTGCTGCCATGGCTCTCATCTAGCAGAATGTGAATCGGGTCACCTGCAGTAATGTCAGCGTGCCAGAGTTTCGCCTTACTGCTTCATCTGCATTTTGACCCTCACCTACGCTCTTGAGATTTGGATCAATCCCAAAAGAATGAGGTTGTGGA